TTACGCTGTCCCTGCTTCTTGTCCCAAGCATCCTTCCGTACCTTTCTTCCTCCTTCGCTCTAGTTTTCCTATTCTTCTTCACACTCACTCTTTCTCTTTAAATTTCATTTATTGTGAGTGTGTGTCTATGTGGCAGGGTGAGCATGTGTGAGTCAGTACAACTTTGTGAAGTCAAATATCTCCTTTCCCCTTTATGTAGGCTCCAACAACTCAACAGCTCGGGCCATCAGCCATCTTGCTGGGCCCTAGGTCTTTCTAAGTGGAAGTCTGGTTTGGTCCTCTTCTGAAAACTCTTCAGAGTCAGACCATAACTTTTCGATGGGGACTAGAGCTCTCCACAGCCCTTCCTACTTCCTTAGCCCAATTTCCTCCCTCTGTATTCCTGCCACCTGGGGGGAAAGCCTGTCATAACTGGGGTGCCAATAGACAAGACAGAGCCATTGCTCACAATGCAATGAGGAGACAGGGCAGGAATGAGTTGTATTTTAACACACACATGCATTGTTGGGGGTGGGTATCTTTCACCGGTCAAAGGAAGGACAGTCAGTGCATCTTGGACCACCAAAGACCACCAGAGACCACCAAAGAAAGGTGGCTCCAGGCTCACTGGCACAAGCCTGGTTCCAGGGGGTTTGGGGGCCATGAACTGTCCTAGTTTGGGGCAGTATCTTTTATGACCTTGGTCTGATGACCCTTCCTGCCCTGACGAATTCCTGGGTCTACTCAAGACAGAGTTGGAGGCCTTGTGTCCTAGGAAACATATTGTTCTGTCCCAGGCAGCAAGAACAACACCTTTATTCTATTTTTTAATTATTATTATTTCTCCTCAGTGGTGCCGAGGATCCAACCTAGGTTTTCATTCTGCAGGTTGCTGCTTACCACTAGCAACAACCCTGCCACGAAGGAGCTCCTTTCCTAGGCTGCCACACATCAGCCACTTCTTGCAGAAAGGGACCTTACCATGTCCTCAATACTAAGAGGGTACAGTGTACTGTAAGCATTCGGTACAAGGCTTCTGAAAGAAGGGCTCAAATGTCACTTAACTTACTGTGAGAGTCCCTTCCTGGCTGGAGCCTCCCCCCCCCACCCCCCCCACCCCTACTGAGAGCTCAGTCTTATCACTTCTGACACTTGCCAGCAGGGGTTCCTACAGTATTCTGGGCAACTGGAGATGGGACGGGAATTTTATCTAATGATTTTTAAAAGCAACATCCTATCTGCTTACTTAGAAGATACTGTGGACTTATTGCTAAACATTTCGCACCACACATTCTTGATAAGTTAAAAAGCACAAAAGCACCCCAGTGGGTTCCCCAAGAATAATTTAAAAAATAATTTGCAGAAATGTAATCGAGCCCATTCGTATTCATGTATGAGCTATGTTAAAACAACAACAAGAAGAACAACAAAACCAAAACCAAACCAAACCAAAACAAAAAACCCAGGAGAACTCACTTAACATAGATGTTTTTAGGCAAAGCCAAGTTTGATTTAATCAGCATAATACAGACTAGCAGTAACTGTAAAGCAGGTACCTAAGAAAGAGAAAGCCAATATCTCCAGTGGGAACCTGCAGCTTTAGACTACATATAATGGTCACTTTTTTTTTTTTTTTAACTGTAAAAGGATGGACTGAGTGCCTGATCACTCCATCATCACTTAAATTTCCAATTGAGTTCTTCCATGGGAAAAAAAAATTACAGGAAAGTTATGCATTATTATACAAGGCAGAAAAAGTATTTGTGACTTTAATTTTGGTGTTCCAGTATTTATAACCTGCTTCCTACGTGTGCCTTCATTTTTCTACACATTGTCAATGGCTGTGCTCAATCATAACACAACGACTTGATTACAGAGAGGAATGTAATTCTTGCTGTTTTGTTTTGTGTTTTTGAGTTTCTCTGTGTAGCCTTGGCTGTCCTGATACTCTGCAGACCGGGCTGGCCTCGAACTCAGAGATCCATCTGCCTGATCAAAGGTGTGAACCACCACTGCCCCCAAGGAATGCAAATTTTGTAAACGAGGAAGTAGAATAGTATTTTCTTCTTACTAGGCTTTGCAAATTCTGAAAAAAAGTTCCCAAAATTCATAAAGCATCCCCTCTATCCTGGAATTAGCCTGCTTTATATAATCCTTTAGAGAGACTGGCAGAGCTGAAGTTTCAGGAGATGTTCTAGAAACTTGGGTGCTTTTCAGTCATTTTGTATATGCAAATGATCCTCTGCTCCCAAGTATTGTTATTTCCCCCCTATACAGACAAACGTCTGTCTAAGCAGTAGGTAGTTCAGCCTTCCTATCAGCCATCCCTCTGAGTTCTTGTTAGTGGGTTCTCTGTCTCTTTCACATGCCTAGAAGCTCCTTTTGCCACAGGTTACATTGTGTTTGTGTTTTCCTGAGCACTATCTACAAGGCTCCCGCGAGGTTGTTAGTGCCCCAGCTCCCAGGTCTCAATTTGGGCAAGCTAGCCCTAATTCCTTAAGGGTGTAGACTCCCCGAATTGCTCTTTCTGCTCACTGAATATCAAGTATCAATCCCCAAGGCAGAAGCCCTCAAGAGAGGGAGGGACCTTGCCAGGGTTTCTCCAACCACCCAGAACCAAGCCTGGAACCTCTGAGGCACTCAGTGCAAAAAGAATGTAAAGATCTCCTAATGAGTTAGTTTCAGTTGGGTGTTGGGGAAAAAAAAGCAACCCATTGCAGGAGTTTACATTTGTCTGTGAATGACCCTTATCTGGCCCTAGGGTATTTGCATACTTAAAGCTAAAGCTTGTGAATTCAAATGATTCTCTTTGGGAAAACTTCAAGAGTGAAGCAAATGGAGAGAAGAATGTTCCAGGCTTAGGGTAGTGGGGGTGGGTGGGAGCTAAGGCTTAGGAAATCGGCCTAGGTCTGTGCCTGAGGGTTTTTGGCTTTTTAAAGACCCTCCAGTTCTGTATCAGTTGAACTTTCCCTTAAAACCTGGACTTCTCACCCTGCTCTCTGGGTGGGATAAGGAGGAGATGAAGTCAGAGAGTGGACATGCGGCTGATGTTCTGTTCTCCACTGGCTGTTTATCTTTGGCATATTACAAAATGAAGTGTTCCAACTTTCTAGTGGAACATACAAGGACACAAGAGGGGACCTGCTCATAGTCACCTGGAGATATTTGTTGACCATACAGCTGAGACATCATACTTCCATTAAATGTAGAGGTTGTCACATTTTTCAGCTTGTAAATTGCATTGAAATAGATGCGCATCTGATTAGTAAAATTTCCCTCCTAAAATGTATATTATGGTCTTTTTATTATTTATTTATTTATTGATATTATTTATTTATTTATTGAGACAGGTTTTTTTTTCTTTTTTTTCTTTTTCTTTCTTTCTTTTTTTTTTTTTTTTCCTGTGTAACTGTCCTGGCTGTCCTCAACTTTGTAGACCAGGCTGGCCTCAACTCACTGAAGTCCTCCTGCCTCTGCCTCCCAAGTCCTGGGATTAAAGGTGTGTGCCGCCACCATCAGGCTTTTTATTAGTCTTACTTTGAGGGATATAAATGTAAATGGAAAGTTAGTGTCAGAATTGTGATCTTTAGCTTATGATACTGGGGCTATAAAAAAAGTAGATTTTGAAAAATTTTCATGTTTCCAATGTCATATTTTCCCTGTGGTATTAATATATTTTCTGTTGTTATCTGTAAACTATTTGATGAGCATATTTCTTTTAAAATTCAATTTATGGTGAAAAAAGCTAGAAGCAGTGAACTTAAATTATCAACAGATTGGAAAATACTTAAAAAGATTAAAATATTTATAAAATTATTACTATTAGAAAGTACATGTCTAACCAGTTAAATTGCAGTATAAATGAGATAGTTGGTCCAATTGAAACACTGATTCCAGGCTCAGTAACAATACGGGCTTCAGTGAGTGAGATTAGCACGATTCACGTTTTTCTGTACGATTTTTAGTTCAAGGGCTCCAAATCGCTTGCTCTTCTGTCATTGCTGGCTGTAGGACCTCCTTCCTTATTTAAAAGTAACTGCAACCTTAGAGGGTACAATTGTTGGCCGTTCATAATGGATACTTGCCCAGTGTTTTGGAAACAAAAGGTGCTTAGTAAACGTGCAAATATCTATTTTACAAGAGGGAGATTAATAAAAGAATTTCAAGGTTAATATTCATCTCGTACGGAAAGATAAATGGGCGAGGACGTCGGATAGTTAAAGATACTTATTGCCGCATTGGCAAGGGAATGATGAAAACACTCCAGTTCTGACACGTTTGAAAAATGGGCACACATCCTATTTCTTTGTTTCATAACCACTGCGCTATCCCTTCTTTTCTTGGCACGCTAACAAATTCAGCCCAAATCAATGCCATGTAGTTCAACTTTTTGATTTAGTGGCGGATCCGGCTGTCCTATCACCGAGGACGTCGGCAGAAGCAAAGTGGTGGAGCCAGAACGGCTCTGTTTTGAAAGGAAAGGCGTCCATCCTAGGTATTTCGTGTGGGAAAATCATCTCAAGTTGAAGGATAATTACAGAAGAGACGCCCCAACACCTCCAGCCTCCGCCGTCCGCGCGGCGCTGGACACCCTCGCGGTGGCCGGGGGTCACTACGGGCTCGGGGGCCTCGGCATCCTGCCCCAGGGCGGCGCACCGCGGCTCCGGGAAGGTGCTGCGCGGAAACGTGGCAACGTCTGCACCCGCGCCGGAGCGCTTGCGGCGGCCGGCCCGGGAGGCTGCGGCGATCGCGCACCGGGACCGCCATCCGCCCGCTGCGCCGGCGCCCGGCAGGACGGGAAGGGGCGGCCGCCCGCTCCGCGCCGCCCCCTTCTCTCGGCCTCTCGGCGGCCTCCGCCACCCCGGCCGAATTCTTGCATAAATTATGCCAGGCGCGCCTGACGTCAGGTGGCGGCGCGCGGGCGCGGCGCGGAGGGAGCCGGCCGCGGGCGCGCGCGGTCCCGGAGGCTCGTGCTCGTGGCGTGCAGGGCGCGCGCAGGCGCTGGCGTGCTGGGGCCGCGGCGGCGGCGGCGGCGGCGGCAGCGGTGGCGGCGGCGGCGGCGGCGCGGGGGTTGAGCCGTGGTGGTGCGGACGCGCTCGTGCTCGGGAACTATCGGATTAAACTTGAATCGAGTGGAATTACACAAAGGAGCGCAGCGGAGGAGGCGGCCCGGGGACCCGGAGACCCCGCAACTCGCCAGAGCCCCGTCCGCGCGCGGCCAACTCCGCGTCCGTGGATCAGCCCCCCGGCCGCGGCCGCCGAGCCAACTCCGGAGCCGCTCTGCGTTTTGTTCCCCACGGCGCGCGGCGGCGGACCAGCCCGAGCGAGCGAGCGAGCGAGCGAGCGAGCCGGTGAGCGCAGACTTCCCCGGCGCCCCCGGGAGGGGCGGCGGCAGGAAACCGCGCCGGGCCGGGCCGCGGCCGCGCCGAGTTGCGAGCGGGGAGTTGGGCGTGTGCGGGGCACCGGGAGAGGCGCGCGGGGGCCGCGATCGGCAGGAGCGCAGCGCCACCCGCCCGGTCGCCCGCCCGCGGGGCCCGAACCCGCGGTCCGAGCGCCGCCCGGTGCCCCAACTTTTGCCTGCGTCCGCGGGGCCGGCGGCGGCGGGGGCGCGCGGGGCGGCCGAGGGTCACTTCCTCGCATGTAAATGGCTTTTTGTTGTGCTGCCGGCGTTGGGGGGGACGGGGACCGGAGGGAGCGTGTCTGCGCGCTGGGGAGCGCGAGCGCGTTTCCTCCCGCCGGCCCCGAGCACGAGTTGGCGGCCGCGTTCGAGAGAAAAGGGAAGGAGGAAAAAAGTTGGGCTCCAACTCCGGCGCGAGCGGCGGCGGCGGCGGGCGCGCGGGCGCGGGGCGCTGAGCGCGGGGCTCGGGGACGGCGGGCGCCCCCCGCCTCGCCCCCGCCCCCCGCCCCGGCCCGACCACGCCGCGCTCGCCGGGAGCGGCGGCCGCACCGGCGCGAACAAAGTGCGTCCCTGCGGGCGCGGCGGCGCCAGCCCGCGCGGGGACGGCCACGGGCGAGGTGGGTCGGCGCAGGCAGGGAAAGTGCGCGGGGCGCCGCGTGGGGCGGGGGCGGGGGCGGGGGCGGCGCGAACACGCGGCGCGGGGGGCGTCCCGGACCCAGCCGGCGGCGACGGCCGCGGAGTTCCGAGCCCGCAGCCCGGGGCTCCCCGGCGGCTCCCGAGTGCGGGGGGTTGGGGGGGGAGACGAGAAGAAAGGGAGCCGGGCCGGGGCGAGCGCGGGCGGGCGGGCGGCCGATCGGGGGACCCCACCTTGCCGAGCTGGCCCGGCCGCAGGCGGCGGCATAATAGCGACTTTAATCCGCGATTCCCAACTCGCGTCCCCGCTCCCCTCCCCCCCAGCCTGTCGGGGGTCCGGGCGGGGGCGGGGGTCGCCAGGTGGCCCCGGAGCGGCGGGCTTGTGCGGTGCCCCCGGGGAGAGCCGCCTCCGAGGGCGAGCGGCCGAGGTGGCTGGAGGCCGAGCGGTCAGCGGGAGAGGAAGGAGGGCGGCGGGGGACGCGTTGTTTGTTTGCTTCGCACCGGGGACGGGGCTCGCTGGGGGCGCGGGGCGCGGGCGGGGCGCGACGGGGGCGCGGTGCGGGCTCGGCCGGGCGGCGCGGGGGCGAGCGGCACGGGGAGGGGGCGGCCGGCGGGGGCCGGGGACTGACTGGTCAGGAGGCTCCGGGGAAGGAGCCGCCGGCCCCGAGCAGCCATCATTCCCGAGCCGCCTTTCTTCGGATGGCTCTGCCTCGAGGAGCCCCGCGCCGTGGGAGCGCACCCCAAACTCCGGCCCGGCCGCCCGCTTTGTGAGCGCCCCCGTGGAGCGGGCGGCGCGGGGAGTGCTGCGGCCGGGCGGCACGGTACTCCCAGGAGGTCACTTTTGGAGACTGTTCACGCCTCGGTTTTAAACTAGTTTTTTTTTTTTTTTTTTCTTCTTCCCTCTTCTGAACAGACAATGGACAAAAGAAAAGTAGCAACCCACATGGAGAGTTTCCTTTGAATTGCTAGAATTAGATACACTATCCAGCTCTCCACTTGCTAAGTATACTTTTTAGTTTCCCGTTGTATATTATCTAGCAATCGATTTAAATAACTTACTGAAGCTGTGTCTGACCTCAGAGCTGGATTTCTGAGATATATTAAATAATTTGAAATGATTTTTGTGAGAGCCCTGGTTTTTATTTTTATTTTTTAATTTTAATGGACGCCGTCTTTACAGTGGCTGACACCTTCCTAAGGGGTTCACTGTTACTTTCCCCCAAATTCTCTTTCAGTAAGAGGGAGAATTCATACGAGTGAGTGATAATCAGCGGGAGAAAAATACATCTCTTTATTTCCTCACAGATCTGTTCTAAACGATGACAAAAAATCTTAGTGGCAGTGACCCAGCAGCTCCGTACCTGATTTATCCCAGTTTTAATTACGTTCCGATTACAGTAATGTCCGAGAAATAACTTGAGCAGTGGTTTTATGAAGTTGCATCCTCCCCAGCCCCCAGAGTACATCTGTCGGCGCAGTGTTTTTGTCTCGCTGTTGCACAACAGAGAGCCCTCCAGTCTTTCCCCTAAAATGGCAGCTTTCATTTGACTGGGGCCCATTCATTGACAACGATAATAAAGAGGCTGAAAGCTAGATGCTTGGGGCACAGAGGACTCGGATTGCCTTTCTAGGTGATAAGTAGGAGACATTTTAAGTCTTCCAGTTTGCTCATGAAAAGTTTATTTTCCCTGAAAAACTGCAAGAAAAAAAAAAAAAAAGAAACAGAGGAAAAGGAAATATTGGAAATGGGAAAGGACTTGATCAACGGATCTTAGGAGCTATTTAAAATGAAAAAAAAAATATATATATATTTCTTTTTGTCCACTGGGTGAATAAGGCATTCCCCTTCCCTCTTCCTGGTAATCTACTGCTTAAGGGACATCATGGATTTTTGACAGGCTTGTAACAGGTGAATTTCCTCCGTGTGGCACTCAGGATTTAAGGTTGTTCCCTGGGACTGTGTATTGGGATTATTTATATTCTCTTGGCATTTTGTACCCTCCCCCCATAGAAAACTGGACAGATTATTACTAAGTCTGAAGTTTATAAATTTTATTCCATGTTTATGCTTTCAAAAATCCAAAGGGTTTCTAGATTTAAAAAAAAAAATAAGTTATTTAAAAACTTGTGGGAATTCCAAGCTCTGGTTAAACTGGCTTCATTAGTGGAGTTATTTTGACATGAGTTTTAAAATTGATTTCCTCTCCTATTTCTTTAGTACAGAAGACAGAATAGAGAAATGTTATATAGACGATAGTTAAATCTCAACTTTTATATTTCTCTTTCAAGGGGAAAAAACAAAACAAAAAACTAGTTACCACTCCAGGTTGAATAATATAGATGTCAGAATAGTGCTTTAGTGGATTCAGCTAGGCTTGGTCTAGGTTTTTTTTTTTTTTTTTTAATCAGTTTGACTTGTGGAATATTTCCAATGCTTTCTCCGAAAGGAGTGTTTTCTGTTAGCCTTGGTTTTACTGAGAGGTGGGTTCCTGTATGATTTTAAACATCCAGGACACATTGCATCCTTTTTCTGTACACTGATGCAAAGTCAGGAGCTAAGTAAGTACTCGAAACCTCTCAGCAGGGAACAGGGACACACTCGACCTGTACACCTGCTGTGATGCGGGAGCCAGGTTTGGGACAGTTCTTTCAAACCTGGAATTACATCTTATTTGCCGTGCGTGATCAGGTTTGCTTGCTATTCAGTTACCTTCCATTTGGTTAATTCTCATCCTGTCTGTGCAAGCCTTCCACTGTGGAGCTCTGTGTAAGAGGCAGGACTTTCCCACTGGGAGTTACCCTCTAGTAGCAGAGAAACTTCTTTCTGCTTGTCTGGACTCCAAGGAGAACCAGGGAGGCGGCAGTTCACGTCCCTTCTTCACTATGCAGACAGGGCCTTTTGGTTTCGTGGCAGACACTGTGGCCATCTTATAAACACCTCCCGTAAACGAGGCATCACAGCAATGGCACTGCTCAGTCAGGGCTGAGCAGGTGTGCAGCTAGAAAGCATGGCTCTTAAAGTTGCTCTTAAGAAAACGACCACTCCCCAAATTCAGGTGGCTTCTCCATGGAAGACAGGCATATGCTCAAGCATAGCTAAATGAACTTGACAGCATCGGGAAGGGCATTTGAGAGGTAATGCTGTGACTGAAGGAACATGTTAGCCCTCTGTGGCTCTGAATTGTCTTACTCAGACACATCTGTATGCCATTTAGAAGAGATATTCTTTTATGCCTTTAAAAATTAGAACTGAGCATTGTTGTTTCCTCAGTGATTTCTAGAGCCATTATTAGACCCATTGGTTTGTAAGATAAAATAGAAAATAGTCCTTTTAATTTTTTTTTTTTTTTTTTTTGTATTTGCCTGCATGTATGCTCGTGTGAGGGTGTTGGATCCCCTGGAACTGGAGTTAACAATTGTGAGCTGCCTGGTGGGTGCTGGGAATTGGACCAGGTCTTCTGGAAGATCAGCCAGTGCTCTTAACTGCTGAGCCATCTCTCCAGCCCCAGACCTCTCTCTTAAGAAAACTGTTTAGTCTAAAATTCTTTGACAATTGAAGAAGATGACTGGTGGTGTTTAAAATATAAAAGATGGGAGTAAATATTTATTTCTATAAAACACAAAGATAATGCTTTACTTCAATCTGGGCATCACTCGTGTTGCAGATATGGCTGAAGGTTAGAGTGGGTTATTGTGGAGGCCAAGAGCAGGGACGGTAATTAAAAACACTGATTGTCTTTTATTAATGTATTAGATTATTAAGTGAACTCAGCTGTGTTGCAATAGAAAGCACCAATCATAAAGATGCTGTCATATAGATTCAGTTTTATAGTCACCAAGCCTGCGGATAGAGTATGAGGACCTTAGAGAGCCTGCTGAACTTTCTGACTCCATAGATTAAAAAAGTAGAGCCAAGAGATTAATTAATTGAGCTGCCCCTAGCTGGCCACCCAGTCACTGCAGCGCTCCTCCAGGCACTCCTGTGTCTCTGGTGCCTAGTGTGGTGTGCTGTGTGGGGGAAGTGTGGGCTGATCTGCTGGACAACTGATTTAGCTCTAGGAGAGCTTGGGCAGCGTTGACAAGATTTGGGATTTGGGGAGAAAGCTGTGGTACCGAGTTTTAAGTGTTAGACATGAACAGAATTGTCTTTAGGATGAGATGAGCGGGTGGGTGGGAAGAAGGAGGACAGAAAAATGTAGGCAGCATCCTGTCCGCTTTAGTTGGGATCGATGCCGATGAAGACTAGATTGGTGCCCTTGGGGGTGGAGAGCAATGGACAGATGCGAGGAATTTGTGGGGTTTTGGTGAATCAGACCTGAA